TGGCTAGATTACTCTTTTGTCTCGTGCAGCGCACTGCCTGCGTCTGAGTAACAAACTAAAAAGTGCATGTGATATTAACAGACGAACTACGCTCATATTTATAATTCCAAACAATCAGTAATCGACAGGTGCTTGGAAACGCTGTGTTGTACTGATTTATTGAGGAGTTGGCTGCGGTGCTTCTCTGCCGCTCACTGCACAGAACAGACGCCGAGAGAGGCGACACTTCTCCGGGAAAGTCAGACCTCGCACTCGCGGGACAGCACTGGAGAAATCCTCCAACTGAACCATAGCTAAGATTTATCCAAGAAAGCCGCTAGGTTTGTAAGTATGAGTATTCTATGGAAAAAAGCAGCTAAAAGGGTCTGAAAGTTGCTAAATCTAGTGCTAAAGTCGCGCTCGTGTGTGTGAGACGCGGGAGCTGATGGCAGCGGGCGCTGGATATTTGTGGTGGTCAATGTGGATATTGTGGATGAGTTCTTCTGTGTCATCACGTTCTGTTAGTTCTACAGCTTCAGTTTCTGAACTTTCACGCTTAGTAACACATACAGCTGTTCCCTCGCCACAGTGCAACAGTGTAAAGGGACCCCTTTCAAACAGTGTCGCGTTCCCAACGCTGTTTAAGAGACATACACCGGTATTGCGGTATTTTAAAAATTCATATCATAAAAATAAACACCGGTATTCGGTATGAACCGGTATACCGCCCAGCACTAAGAGTTCGGCACAAATGCGATTCATTCACTTGGTGAGCATAACCGTTTTTACAGCTCTGTGACAACCCGTCAAAAGGCTTATATAAACACCACAGAATAAGCCTTAAAAGTTCTCAGAGGTGCAACAGCACGTTCATATATACTGTATGTTTTCCATGCAGAGTGCAAATGGTTGTGCATTTATTTGTGTTTTTAACTGGATGGGAGCGAAATGAAACCGTCTGAACCCGAAGCTGTGTGTGTTGTCTGTCTCCCCTCTCCCCCCACTTCGCTGCGCACCACGCCCACATTTTTAGCATTTTTTAAAACTGTGGTGAGAACTAACCAGTGCTGAAACGGGGGGTTTCATGACCCTTTAAGGTCACCAAACTCTGGACTTTTAGTAGGACTTTCTTCAGACAAGCATTTGCATAATGAATCTCAATCTCACCCTTGTTCCCAGTTAGATCAGATAAAAATCACAAACATATTTTTTGCTTGAAACGTTATGAACAGCAGCTACGCTAATTATTTTCTATCTGCCTTTCTGTTACTACTCCGGGATGCCCATCTCGAGGTATCTAGAGATTACACCAGCTCCAGCGTGGATCCAGCCTCATAGAAAGACTTCAGATGAGCCCACACCTGTGAAGAGATGATGCTGACCCCTGCGAGGACCCCCAGATGACCCTAACTTGAATCAACATGCACAGCTGCCAAAATTTCTCTATATTGTAATCTTTATGATCGCACTTGTAATAATCGCTTTAATGAACTTCTGCCTGAAATTAACTCATGTTAGCTAGCTGTATGATTCTATTATCTTGAACTGTTCATTTGTGAAATTAACATTATTTGGACACATTCCCTTCTGCTTTGTAATGCAGACACATGCATTTTCTGTAAAGCTGCTTTTAAACTATGTGTATTGTGAAAAGCGCTATACACATTCAAATTGAATTAAGTGAATTAAAACTTGACATTGCTGTATTGAAGTATTGTTGGCTTGTATGCTAAAATTACTTTGGAGAAAATTGTCTGCTAAATAAAGAAATGTATACCAGTTTCCATTTTTGGCTGAACTTCTTCTATAGAAATGAGAAAACAAAAGCTTCCAGCTTCTAATATCAGCCTAATCAGGTATAAAAAAAAAAAACATCAGTGTTGGTCAACACAGTCACTGATAAACTATGTATTTCTAGCGTTTAGCTGAACTTGCCCCACCTTGTTTCTCATATTCCTGTTCCAATGGTACTAAAGCGCCGTCGTCCTCGTCTCTATAACCATAATAGTCAGCGTCTATGTCCTTCATCAGCTCCGCTCGTGTTTTTCTGGGTGGTGCTACAGCTGCAATGGAAACTCAAACAGATAAATGTCAGGCAGATGTTCACATATTCAGATGATCATCACGTTATACAGGATGCCTAAAATGCACATTTCTGGTCAAAGGAACTGGGCGTCAAAACATGCTGACAGCAATAGTTCACAGCAAGTCACAATGTTTTTATTAAACCAGAGATATCATTAACCTCTCAGCTACAACATATCATCACACAGAGTTCTAATATTAATAGAAACCAGCAGATCTCAAGCAGTTATTATGTGACTGAACGTACGCTCTTTTTCGAACAGCTCTCGGACTCCTGGTAAGTCTTTTGCCGCACCGAAATACTTGTATCCTCTGTTTCCTGGCACCTCTTTACCCTCATGGTCCAACATCTTCGGCCCCACTCTCTATTAAACGCAAACACATACGCTCAAGCCGTGCTGACAAATATGAAACACTGCCATAAAGCAAATACAGCGCAGTTTAAACCTCTGAGACCACATGAACAACCTGGGAATTACACACGGAAATCGACCAAATATTGTATGATTTTGAAGAATTCAAACCAGTATCATTACATAAAACAGAGACGAGGTATTTCGGATACATTTCAATATTTTAAAGCCACTAAATGTAAGTGCGTGGCATTGCTCGGGTGATCTCAGGTCGTGTTTGCGTCCGCTCCATTAACGCAAAAAGACAAACCAAACGCTGAAACATTCTCGTGTTCATGTTTGAGATCAGTTTATGCCGCCGATCGAATCTTTTATTAAACTGGAAACATGCGAAACCGAACTATTTTCACTGGTTGTCTCAGAGCACTGTAGATGCTAGGAAAACAAAACAACAAATTCCTTGCGTGTTTGCACACACTTTGTGACCAAAGCACATTCTGATAAAAAATAGCATACAGCTGTAATTGATTTGATTTAATACAGCAACCATATGCATGAAATGTAATATGATTTGAGATGAAACGGACAAAAAATGCAATAAAAATCATATTCTTACCCTATAGTCAGGGCCTCCCAGTTCCTTGATGCGGACTTCCCAGTGTCCTTTCTCTCGGAGCAGCTTGTTGATCTCATCATTCAAATCACGGATCTTAAACTCCCCCAAACCGGCTGAGGAACACAGGCAGGGGTCTAGTCAGTAAACGCCACGTGTACAAGTAATGTCTGCTTTTTTTTTTCCTTTCACAGAGTCTCACCGTTTTGAATCTGCGCGACTTTCTTTGAAATCTCACTGATAATCTAGACGTGCAAGACAAACACCGAGTTAATATGCATATGCAGCTTTATAGCATTTAACCAGAATCCTCTGACCTGTCTCCTCCACTTCTCTGCTTTAGGCAACTCGTTGCACTCTGAAGCTAGAAAGGGTCTTCTTTCCTGTGAACGTGGCACATGATCAGGTCAACACAAGCCATAGAGATGCTCTCAGCACATCAGGGTTCAGATGAAGAAGGGCACTCACTTTAATCCTTCCCTCTTCAAGCTGGGCTTGACGAAACCGGGCCAAGGCCGTCCTGCAGAACAAAGGGGAAGCATTGCTAGCAGACTCTGCAGAGGACACGAGAGAAAGTTCTGACAGGAATATAAGAGGAATATAACACTCACATGGCCTTTTCTGCGTTCCGAGCCTGGAAATACAAACAGCAATAGTTCATTAAAGCAGGTGCTCACATGTAGCGTTACAGTATAACATATATATATATATATACTCGAGAAACCTTATAAGCATCTGATCAGAGGACCTGCGTAATGTTTATTATTACATCTGGTTACTAATGTTTATCAGCGGTTTCGCGTCTTATTACAGAAGATACAGTCGTTTCCGGATAATGTACGCGATGTAGTTACTTTTATAAATGTGCACTAACACGAGTATGAGCACTTAAAACCCATTAGCTAAAGAAGAATATGTATTTTACCATGTTTGTAGTTCAGACGTTCAACCTGGACCTGCGTGAGCGCAACGCTGACCGACGCATGAAGATGACGTGTGGACGACTTCCGGCGCGCCAAGCGATGACAGAGCACGCAAAACAAATCGCAGGGTGGGTTTATTTATATATTTATTTATTTATGTGGCGTATTCATGGTGCTAACTAGTACTACTTTGAAATGATCACGAGGTCACGAGTAAACGCAAAAAAAAAAATGTTTTCAAAAGGCGTCTTATCTACCATCTACTGGTGAGAGATAAAGCTGCAGTTCCAGAGATTGGCCTTCGTTTGAGTTTTCTCTTTAGTTAAGATCAGTAGGCCTTCTTTAGCTCATTAATATTATGATTTACAATAAAAGTAAACTCAACGCCTTTATCTAATACTGACCATTTTCTGTAGGCCAGACTTTTTCAGTGAACTAGCATGATCTATTATATAAGATTGAAGTCAGAATGTCCCCTTCAGGTGTAAAATGAGAACCAGCTTTGCTACACAAGTAAATAAAGCACAGTGCATCCAGAGATGAGTGGGGGGGAAACATAAATACATCTATTTCAGAATAGCTTGCCAGTATGAACCGGCATCATGTAATTTCCTCTCTATGCTGTCTCTGTCGGCAGGCCAGCTGGCCTCATTTTGGCTATTTACACAGGAATTTTAGAGCTTCTTGAGGCAAAGCTGAACTGGGACTTCATGCTCTACATTCCTAGTGTCTGTAATAACTCGTGGCATCATCAAGCTCTGAAACAGTGTGGAACGGTCTCTCACGTTGTGCTGCTACGCTTATGGGGAAACTCCTGATAATGAAGCCTGATTTGTTCATGTTTGTGTGGCTGCACGAACCAATGGCACTTCAACCCGCCAAAAGGGGAGGAGCCGACCTCTATATAAGTCGGTCAAGCAGCGGGTGACCTGTAGGGATGGACGATACCACTTATTTTGTTTTCGATACGATACCGATATTTTTCAAGGCAGTATCGTCGATATCGATACCTACACAATTACTCGCTAATAAAGGTTATTCGTCCAATTCAATGCATATTGTACGCATTATATTTTTGTTAAATTAACAAAATCACTGGTAAATAAAACACACCTTAGTATCGATATTTTTTGTTTGAGTATCGATACTTTCGATACTCGCATCAGTATCGATACTTTGGATCGATACGCCCATCCCTAGTGACCTGCAAGCACTGTCAGTCAGTGCGTCCTGTCTTGAGTTAGGGCCTAACGACTGTAGAGTCATCCTCAAACCGAGACACGGCTATGTGCCGCCGAAAGTGCTCTCCACTCTGTTTAGAGCACAAGTAATCACCTTCTAGCACTCCCCAAACCAGATGGTGAGCAGGATCCCAATCCACTCTGCCCGGTGCGGGCTCTCAGAGAGTATATTGAGCGCTCTGGCCTGTTTAGACACTCAAGAGCAGCTCTTTGTGTGTTTCGGAGGCCGCTCTAAAGGGCAGCCAGAGACGAAGCAGAGACACTCCGGATCTCGCTGGATAGTGGATGCTATAACCTTCACTAGTTTTTATAACTTGGACGTCCCTGCCCTGCAGGCATGGATCTTGTCTGCTTAATTCTTTGTAAGTGGAGAGGGTTATATTATGTAGTCTTCAGGTTAAACGGCTTTGGTCTCAAGCTTACAGGAGCCTTTAGCATGAGTGCTCCAGGGCTGGGCTTGCAGAGCAGCTTCGTTCTGCACTTGCTCATAGCACGGCGCTATTGGATGCATTCCCTATAAGCATGTTAAATGCAACGGGAGAGAAAGTTGGATCGGGAATGCTACGGTTACTAACATGACCTCGGTTCCCTGATATAAGGGAACAAGCGTTGCGTAGGCTGCCGTGCTATAAGACTGCACGCAAATCGATGACTGTCGCTTCAGTCCAAAGATTCTGATGAAATGGCGCTAAGAGCCAACTTATATAGAGGTCGGCTCCTCCCCTTTTGGCGGGTTGAAGTGCCATTGGTTCGTGCAGCTACATGAACATGAACAAATCAGGGGCAAGTTCAAGTTCAAACTGGTGTGCACCGTTTTGCTACAGTTTCCGGTTTGAACGACATGTTTCCTGGAAACGGTGTGCAACGGGGTTTGAGATGAGTTTTCTCTTGTTTGGTGGGTGTGTCAAACACGTCAGCCCAATCAGCAGCGAACATGAACAAATCAGGGGCAAGTTCAAGTTCAAACCGGTGTGCACCGTTTTGCTAGTTTCCGGTTTGAACGACATGTTTCCTGGAAACGGTGTGCAACGGGGTTTGAGATGAGTTTTCTCTTGTTTGGTGGGTGTGTCAAACACGTCAGCCCAATCAGCAGCAACATGTATATAAACCACGCGGTATTAAAGAGACAGCTGCACAATGTAATTAACATCCAAATAAATTCACAAGAGCAAGAATATTGTTTGCACATGTTTATTTACATTAAAGGCAAAATAACTGAAATAATAAGGGCACAAGAATAGACCTGGAACTTCTTTAAGTCTGTCTAAATATCATTTAGTAATTGCAATGTCTTCTGGTCCATATCCTTTCCTTAGGAAGGTGTGCCAAATACTGATTAACGTAACAAAAATACTATAAATATTTATATATTTTGCTATTGTATTATGGAGTGATACTTTCATAAACTTTTCTATACCCCTCTGATTATACAATGGTAAATATTACAATATCATAGCACAACAACAGTGATCAGCAATAATGATAAGCCTAATACTCACAATAAATATAATAAGGTCATATAGATCATAACACAGTCTCGAAGGTAAGAAGTGGATTATCCTTCACCTGAAATATTTGTCTTTTCATCCTGAAATGCGAGGCAAATGTTGGATCACAATAATTAGAAACCACAGTTTCCACAAATCCCTTCATTTGATTGGGATGTTCTCTTTTATTCTGGAGGGCAAGGGCAGTGACTGTAACATCGAGCGTATTTTGCAGAATTAAACACGTATTTATACCGATTTCATCAGGCTCCGAAAATTCTTCAAAAAGAACATAAAGAATGGCCTTCTCAGCTGCCTTAGCTGCAACTCTTGCTTCATCAGAACAGGGTGTTCAACACACCACCGTTTCCGTTTAAAAAACGTTTTGCACCGTTTTTGTCGGGGCTGAACGCAGCCCAGGCTTCAGTATCAGAGTAAACAGAAGTTTCCCCATAAGTGTGTCAACGCAACGCTCGCTCCCACATCTCAGGAAACCAAGGTTACATTAGTAACCGGAGCGTTGTGGCTTGAGGGTTTGTTGAAGAGCACCACCTGCACTTTCCATGTTTTTAGTCACCAATCTCAACTGGGTTGCCACTCTTTTACACTAAATGCATTCTCCAATTCACCATTTCTCTTGTAGAAGTCATGCTTGAAGCGGTAAACTCCACTGTGACTGAGGTCTCAGCTTGGTTATGTTTGGTTCATCCTTTAAGTTCAGTCTTCAACTGCAGTGAAGGAATGGAGAATATAGTAGTCCCCCTCTATCTGGCATTTTCATCATTTCAAACCAGGTGAAAACACTCGTCACCAGACTTTAGCACGATCACATAAGACACATCTGCTGAAAGGAGCTTGCTTGGATGCATGTGATGGCATGCGACATGAATCCTTCACTGAGAGCCAGACAGAAAAGGACTGAATCATGCTGAAAAACTGAGCTACAGGTCTCCAGTTACATTGAAGCTATGCTTAGCTCTGCTCTTATTGATCCGTGGTAACCCCAGAGCACATCACACCCCCCTGACATTACTTTGCCATCTCATTTGGCTTCAAGAGACCTAAAAATAAAGTTTCTATATACTCTTATTAGTCACCAGCAGCTAAATTCAGCCCTGCTTCGGTTTCATTATATTGCCATCCATTAGTGTTTTGTACGAACAAGGAAACAGAACTTTAAGTAAAATGTGCTGTTGAATAATTTACTGATGAAATTCATTCCTTAAGTTACGGTTCATCAGATAGCTCGCAGACCAGCTGTCGCACCGAGTTATTATAACCTCGCACTTCGGCTCTGAATAGCCACCATAGTAAACGAATCAGGACTCGGTTTTCAGAGGGCTCTTTGGGCTTGTATGCCGCTTAACGTGTCAACAGAAAAATAGAGGTGCGTGTATACAGATGTCAACAATTAAAAAAAAATGTTACAAGGTCATTTTCGGCTGCACACCGAAGAAGAGATTGTATTTTTTAATTATTATTACTACTTTAAATTTTAAAAATTTTGTACAAAAAAAAAAAAATCTCAATTTTATTATTTATACTTAAGTCATTTTACAAAATATATATATATAAAAAAAAAAGAAAATCATGCTAGATCTTACATACACAGTATATGGATTAGCATTAAGTTTGCAAGGCTCAGCACTCACACACACACAAAAAAACTATATATATATGGCCAAAATGTGCAAACAGATGGCGGAAAATCCCAAATACAATCTATAAACCAAAACAATCATGAAAAATGCGTGTATTCCTGGAATGAAACAGTAAAATGAGACCACTCAGAAAAGAAACGCCAGTCTTCACACCCCTTCCTCCTCCAGATTTATTGATAGTTTAAAATTACATTTCTATGTCCTAGAACTTCAATTGCATTTACCTTCCGACTTAAAAACAGAGTACAAGCAAATGATAGTTTTTTTATTATTATTATTTTTAGAGTAGTCTTACGTGATATTGTACAAAAATAACATTTTGATTTCTGTGAAAACATTCACCTTTCTTCCAACTCCAAATCTGTTTTATGACCTTTTTTTTCTTTTTCTTTCTTCTTTTATTGTTATTTTATTGAAGTTTCCAGCTTGGGCAGAGCGACCTAAACTCCATCCCTCCGTATCGCTTGGGATCCTGAACTAGGTTTTCGACGTCGCGGCTGTCTCGAATGATCAAACAGCCCGTTTTACAAAAGGATGTCATTTTCTGAATCTATTATTACACAAGGTTTCCAGAATATGCTATGTTACACGTTTTGTATTTTGTTGTTTTCTCCACATAGCTGCGTACTGCTGGTTTGGCCTGGATAGACCCGACCGTATGTGTCCTGTGCTGCTTTTCCAGGTCAATCACTCGTAGGCTACCTCAGTCTCACTGC